GTTGTCCGAAAAATGGCTGATATGTTTAAGAAATATGTATCCTCAATGTTGCTTGCTAACTAAGAAATACTAACGACATTTTTATTTGAGTTATTCAAATATTCTTGCATTAAAACTATTTTTCTACCATTTTCATTTACTTTTTGGTGTTTTTTTTTAATTGACTGTTTAATTTCTAATAGGAGATGAAATTTCATTGAACTCAGTTAAATATATATCTGATTGTTTTAATGTTGAAATGTTAAAATAGTATGTTGATTATACATTTAGGACAACTACATCGTCAAACGATAAATGTCATTCGTTATTGACATTTATTTAATTTTATCAAAAATACTTTGCTTTAATTGAATCCAAAGATATTAAGAACAATTGAACTTTTTCATTCGCCCCTCCCCTCCCTTATTCTTTCTAGCGCTATCATTAATTTGAGTGTGTCAAAAACATGTATTTATAGTTCTTACTTTTAATTTTTATGTATTTTTCTTATGGTAGTCAACTGATGAATAAAGAAAATCATATGGAATAATAAGATCATTTGTAGTTTTATATTCTTATCTTTCTTCAATTATCATCAAAAGATTGCAACGAATTTTATTACATATTCATAGATTTATTTTTACCTTCGGTTTTTCTTTTATTTAAAATTTAAAAGAATTTAAAAATAAGCGTAAGCTGTAAATCATCTTCTTTTCAGAGACCATCACATGTCGTTTTTATCATGGTCTTATCCGAATTCTTTCTTATTAGATCTGAACTGACTCGAAAAATGACGAAATCTTTTTCTGAATGCTTCAAGATCAAGTTTTACATATGTAATCTAATACAAGAAAACTGTAGATGTAAAGGTAATTTATTCTCTTTCATTGAAAACATCGGCAAAATCGACTTTTCCTACAGAAGTCTCAAGACAATGTGATAAAATCAAGGATTCACTGAACACAATTTCCTGATCTCAGCCCATGTGGGGTTCAACGATTTCTGAGTGATTCCACTCGAGATATACGAGATCACATTTTCTTTTCTTTTTTTTTTATCTCAGTCGCAATAATTTCTTTTCTCTCGGTCACAGTTCAATCTTCATTTTCACTCAGACATAGACAAAATTACTTCGATATATGTGCGCACAAATTCTAAAAAACTTTCAACAATCTGATTGTTTAACTAATTGAGACGACGCATGTCACAATATTTGATCTTCTCTCTTGAGTTATGCTAAGATTAGCGTCATATATAAAATAATTCGCTCGGACGCAATAGAACATCTAACTACAGTACAAACTTTCATCTTACTTCTAAAACACTTTCGATCTCGGTTTCACACATTAATAAATTCGACGCAACCAACTACGATATCTGCTTCTTATGTTTTTAAAATATTTTTTTTCCAGTTTAACCAAATAAAATTAGTAGTAGTCTTTTAGTGAATGCTAGGTTTAACTATTTCTGAGTAGCTTTCTAATGTCTAATTGATATACTAAACATGGTATTGCGTGTTACGAAGGCCACACTACATAATAAATATTGTGACAATACAAGAATGGCATGACGAATGAAATACTAATGAATAACATGAAATCTTAGACAAAATAGAAATCTCCTATCTTCCATCAGCCATTCATCGTAGCCGAGTATAAAGACATCAATATCTATCTTTCATTATTCTCACAGACCGCTATCAGAAGATGATTGAGACATAAAAAGTAATGCAAATAAATAATATGTGTGTTAGACATTAATACTTCAAACAACAACTATCTCAATACATTTCATTTGCCCAATGAAATTTTACTTCTTATTTTTAAAAAGTGAATATGGCCGATGTTCTGTATTCACTTGTGAATATTAATGAACGATTTAATCATTTAGTACTTGATCTTCTTTATATTGGTAATCTAGGTATGGGCATCAGATCATGTTTTAATCGTATCTTTTCAATAGGTGAGCAAATTCATGAGAGAATTTCAGCGGCGGCGCGAACAGAGGGAGGTTGGAAGAGGGTACTCCGCTGATTTCGAGAAATTTGATCACAGCTTTCTCCGATTTTCAGAGAAAATTCTCTCCAATCTGAGAGAAAATTTAATCTGCATCTTGCTGCAGTTTCTAATCGTGTGAATTTTATTACCCTTCTTGATAATAGATAAGTTCGCAAATATTTGCAAAATATTATCAAAAAGGCAGAACTAATTCTGTGACTCCTGCGATAACGAAATCTCCAAATGCAGTTATAAGCTCTGCCGCCTACGATGGCAAAATGGATTTACTAATTTTTCTATAATTTGGCACGCGCTCGAGAACTTTTACTGTAGTCCGATAGTAGCTCCATTGTTTAATAGTTGGCTCGAGTGTGGCCGCCTTCGGCGGCGAAAAATATCGACAAGCGTTTATGTTAATAAAAACTGACGCGTTATCAAAACAGCTTTTAGGAGCTAACACTAATACTTCTTATTCAGCAAATGGTTTCGATTTTATCTATAAATATGTGTGAAATTTTGACCCAACATTTTTACACGTTTCTCGTTAAAGAAAATAATCTAACTGATGTCGATTGTTTCGTGGCATTCTTGTGTTGAACCACCCCAGGACGATAGATCCGACAGCGAGACTTTGACTTGGGACATCTTTCTCCTGTTTTCGAAAGTACTGCCCCCCCCCCCTTCTTTGACCTCTTCGCGCTGCTTCTGAAGAATTTGAGAAAAATATATTACGGCCTGAGAAGAACCAATGCAACAATGGGATTATGTAAAAAGGCGGATCGGATTTTGATCGAATCTTATCAGAATCCTGTAAAATATGATAGAATCTTGCAGGAATATTGTCGGAAACCGAATGAGGGAATCTTATTCTGATCTCTCGTGTTGGGATATGATCGAATTCTAGTGTCGGAAACTGATTCAATCTTACTCTCGATTCTGATCGGATCCTAATATTAAAATCTAAAAGTAATTAGCTGAATGCGAATGGAAAAATGAGATGAAAATTTCGAGTATAATTGGCGAGCTCACCTAATCGGACATTTTCTATGTGACTTAATCTTCACTTATATTTTTACGATTGACTGTTTGAATGAGCTGATACCTCAGAGAATTGAATGTTGGATCTAATCAGATATCTATTAGAGTTGAAAGAAATACACTAGAACTCTTTCGAAATCCTAGTGTCATTGTTTCTATCACATTCAAATATTAAATTCCACGAGATGTATGTTAAAAGCAAGGCATATCGGATCCATGAATGAATTTGGCCATCCGAATTCTCATGGAACTCTGATAGCTGATCGAATTTAACAGGATTCGAACGGATTCATTCACTTGGAAAGCATATATGTAGGAGTTTCATCTGCAAGCGAAGATTATTTAGTACAAACATGAAAACATTACGCTTACAATAAATTAGTTTATTTGTCGTGTGAGAATACATCATATTAGTTCTAATTGAAACTCAAAAAATGGCACTGTTAGTAAAAATTATATTATTCATCCTTATATTAATTTTGAAAGTGTAGTTAAATAGGTATATAAATAATAAAATAACAACACAGTTATCCTTGTTGAAGTACAATATATATATGAAAAAAGTATCCATGTATTGTTATTATGGTTTCATTTTAGCTGATTCAAGTATATTTTACTTTAACAAAGTATCTTCTTTTATTGAAAGAATTTCTAACAAAATTAATATTTATAATAAAGGAAAATATTTATGAAAATTTTTTAGCCGTAAAAACGGATCTACATGAAGTTTTCTTATTTTAGCACAATTGAGACATTCCATCATTGGTAAAATTGTTTGTTAGCATTACGAATGATTCGTATTCGATACATAGATCTAACAAAGCGGGCAGATGAGTGTTTTTATTACAGAGAAGTTGTTCAACATAATCCACATGTACTTCAACTAGATTGAGAAGAATAAGATGAGGAAATCTAATCAATATAAACCAATGTTGCGTATTTTTTTGTGGTTGATAATTAATAACATGTAACTCTTTGAGAAGAGGAAAACATTGAGAGATAAGTTTGAATAAATTATGTTCAAAAGGACGTACATCAGTCATTGTTAAGCATCGGACTGTATCAAAGATATCACCTTGAAAAGAGTTGTTAAGATGAAGAAAATATTCAAATTCGTATGGAAGTGAATAGACATGCGATATGCTTACATTGTGCTCTGGTCTAGTATAGACGCATGTACCAACTTGTCGATATCCTTTTCCAATGAAACTATGTTGAATGTCTTCGTTCGTCGGGAAATCTATTTTAATGTTTCTATTAACAACACCTGTAGTTATACTGATTGTATAATTTGTTCAATCGTGGCATATTAATAAGAATTTGATCATGTATTTGAATACCATCAATATAAGTCGAGTGAGTTTTTAGTACTGGCAAGAATAATGTCAATTCTTCAAGATTTATCATTCGACGAAGTAATGGAATAATTTGATCGCCATAATGAAATGTAAATTCCATTGAAGTTAATGAAAAGCATTTCAATTCGGGGATTTTTTTCTACAATGAAAATATAATAAAGAATTTGTTTCTCTTCAAAATACAAGAATTGAAATTATATTTACCTTATTATTTATGTATATTTGACAAACTGAATGTTATTTTTTTCACATGAATAATCAATGTTGCTAAACATTTGAGATGTCCAACAAGAAGATAAAGACCATCATCAAATTTTGCGACATTAACTTTTAATTTAGTTAAAGTCGAAGATATACAACTTGTTGATGGTAATTTATAAATACAAATCGGAGTCTTCCGATCAGAAAACAATTGACAAAAATTCAAATTGATCAATCGTGGACACAAAGATAAAATCAATACAAATATACTTGATAGAGTTTCAGACGCTTTTGATTTTGGCTCATTCGGAACATCAATATTAAGATGTGTAATTTGTTGAGTGAGAAGATCCTGAAGAATTGAATTATCTTCAGTTTAAAGAATAAAGACAATTATTAATTTATGTCACACTATTTAATCATTTTATTAATTAATATGAATAAAATTAACAATAAGTAGTGTACCTGTTAAATATTGAAAAAGTATTTCTTCTTCAAAATTAACAAGTGATAAGGGGTAAAGTTGAGAATAATTAACAGTAAGAATATGCTCCACTGAATTTTGTTCAACGGTAAGTGCATTTAATTGATGACGAAGTTGAGGTAAGATTTTTTCACATATTCTATCAAGAACATGATTGTCTATTGAAAAGGTACGATCATCATATGATTTTATGGTCATGCTCGTCGTATCAAGATTGCGAACATGAAGTGAATCAAGTACTAATCGATCAAATCGTTCATTAATATGCACAAGTGAATAGACAGCATCAACGGTTTTCAATTTATTGAAAATGATGAGTAATATTTCATTGGGCAAATCAAGTATATTAATATGATTGGTATTCGAATTATTCATTTTAGCATTGACATACTGTTCATTCATTTTGTTTTATATCTCTACACTTTGCTCGTTTCCTTCTGTGAGAATAATGAGGAAAAAACATTCATGTCATAATATTCGACGACGATGAATGACTAATGATATTGTCTATTTTGTCTAACATTTTTCATTATTCATGAGTAGGCCGTTCATTTGGTCATTTTCTGTTATCGCAACGTTTATCTTGTAGCTTGTTTTTCATAATACATAATATTATGTTTAGAATAAGATATAGTACAGTAAAATCTCCCTATGTGCACTCCTCTCTAAAGTGGACACCTCCCTAATGTGAACACTGGCCGGTCCGCCCCGAGCTGTTTTTGCTGGAAATGAACCTCTTTAATATGGACATCTCTCCATTCTGGACTGTGGACACTTTTTCCCGGTCCCGTTCACAGTAGAGAACCTCTTGAATGTGGACAATTCCCTAATTTCACGTTACTTTTTTCGGTATTATCTCAAAATTCGAAAAAGTTTTGGACACAAACATTTGCAAAAAATTCGCACGTTACAAAATCTGTTTAATATGTCAAAAGTCAAGATTTTTCGGATTTTTCCCTATCTAAATTTATAGTCTCTCCAGTTTTCATGTTCTAGGTTTTTCTGTTCCAGTTTTGAGACATACATTCTTCCCTCGGATGCAGTTGTGCTCGGTGATCGTGCACTGCATAAACTAATTTTAGACGAGCTACTGAGCGAGAAAACGGCGAAAAAAAATTAATTAGGCACAGAAAAGGCGTGTGTTAGTGATGACTGTAGAGTTTAAATAAAAGACAAGTAGACGTCTGATATGTGTTGACGCTATGAGTGACCATCTGAGGTGCCCTGGAAAGTAACTGTGTTTCCTTTTTTTTCAAAAACGACTCCCATCTCTATACTTTTTATACCAACGGAAAGGTGACAACATTCCGATCAGAAATTGATAGTTTAGAACAATTTGCATAAATGTTTTGAAAAATGCAAGAGACAGTTGCTTGTCAGGGGAATGGTAAATGGCCGCTTCTAATTGGTGCGTTCGACACTAGTGTGCGACGTATCCTCAAATAGAATAGCAATCGCGTGAAGACCGACCAGAAAACAGAAAAAAGATTTCAATAAATGTTCATTTATCTACTCATGAAATGACATAAATTCACGGTTCTTCTTCAGAAAGTCTAGTCTGAGAGGATTTGTGCAAAAGGAGTTTTATCACTGACTCTTTCATCATAGATATTAGAAGTTTTCAGCAGCTGACGAAAGAAGTTACCCTCAATATATTTTCATGCAAAATGACTTCGAGCAAGTGGATGGGATAGGCTTTAGTCACTATAGCAATTATTTCAAAACAAAATATTGAAAACCTCCCGAAAGTGGACACTTTGGCAAGGTTCCCTGGGTGTCCACTATAGAGGAGTTATACTGTATGGTGAAAATATAAGAAGTCTAGACTGTAGTTGGTTTGGTTCGATATAGAAATGTATGAGTCCTATGTTAATCCCCGTTCCAAAGAATGAGACTGAAACCAAAATCTAGTATACCTCCGAACTATTGCCAAAGACTTTTCATCATTAAACCACTTCATGTCCGACGTAATCTTTTTCAGTAAGAAAGCTAAATTAAAATTTTTTTTTTTTTTTTTATTTTCATTTCAAGATATTTATATGATGAAGAAGCACGAAAAGAACGTCATCGATTACGAATGGAAAAAACAAAAGAATTCGTTGCTACTATGTCAGATTCTCATCAATTAGAATCTCTTTTGCGTACATCAATATTTCCAACATTTCAACTAATATATAATCCTCAACGTTGGATTACTCTTTATACATTAACTTAACCAACTCGATTAGGAGATTTTTATTATTGATGGAGCTGTTGAATTTGCTTATGCTCATCATTCATATTTTTTTCATCAGTTATTCAAAGCGTTTTTCGTTTTAAACATATTGATCATAGAACTAAAAGAACATGTCGATGATTATTGTTAGCTTTATTTTATTTTATCATCGTTTTCTAATTTTAATTTTTCCTTTTTAATGCATAATATCGAGCAATAGAATTTAAACTACTACCCATTGTTGAACAACTATATTGTGAATATTGTTTAAAAGCAATAATTCGTTGAGATCGATCTCTACAAAAGTTTTATTCCAAATTTTCCTCCTAAGCGATAAAAAAAGAAGCAATTATTTTTCAATTTCATCAAGTGCTATCTCAGTTAATGGTTTAACATAACGAAAGCCAATGTAATTTTTATCAGAAGCTTAAGAAAAATAAAAGTGTTTTAGGGAAATGTTTTTCTCTAAAGTCAATAGTGACCATCCATAATTGACGCCTAAACAAAAATCGCATTTTGACACCTCACTCTCCTCCTCCAGCTGCTTTTAGAATTTTTTTTTTGTTAATTATTGGGTCTTTTCTATAAATCCCTTTTATATATATTATCATCAAAAGAAAGAAATTAGACTGAGGTTAGATGCTTAACTGAGAGTAAAGGCTGACTCTTCAGAACTTTGGCTCTCTTATGATACAGTTAAAACCTATTATATTCTATTAATAGATAAGTTCAGATAAATCAGATGGTTTAAAGAAATCCTGGTAGACTCTTCCTCATTATCAGGATGTCCGGTATGAATAGTTCCATATCTGTTGATGGAGATATCTGATCGAGTATTTCAATCATTCCTTGACCTTGTTTTTCTGTCCCCATTTTAATTGGTGATCCACCACCACAATTTTTGTATATTGTTCTTGTATAATTGGAGTACGACGACGAGTAATAAAAGGACCTAAAGTTCTGGCAAAAGGTTTTTTTGATAAAAATAAACAACACGTAGGTACATAAAGCAGAAAAAAATATACTTTTGGGATTGTAAAGGCATAATATCTTTATCGGAAAAGAAATGATTAAGAAAATCAAATACTTCATCTGTTGTTTCTGGTCCACCCATATTGAGTAGAAGTATTCTTGTGTTTACTCGACTGCTAGAATAAAGTATTTCCTTTTATAATTTTAAAGTTTATGAGAATATAAAATCCTGCCCTTAAGATTCATTACGTGTTTTGTTATCTTGTTTTATTGTTGGGTTTACTGAGATAGTACTCGTTACACGAATATTAACACCAAATGAACAAGAAGTTAATAATTCTATTTTAAAGAAACTTCAAAATTCATTCACCATGATCTATTGTAGCGTACTTGATGAGAAATTGTAGTTTTAAATATGATAGTAACATTATTTCAGTTATCAAAATCAATCTAAAAGAAATATTTATCTGACAATATGCATATCAATAATGAACAATCAAAGTTTTGTGGTAATGATCAAAATAATTTGCATTACTAGAATATATGACAAAATGACTGAAGATGATCGAATAGGTTACAGCACAACAGTAAAATCTTCATATTTGCTAGAAAATTTTCTGTCAATAATACAACAATTAAAACTCATTACAATTTACATTGAATCAAACTTTGATTTGTTCACTATCACGAATAATCTATTGTGTTATTAACTAGCATGAAATATATACCGAACGTATTCTTATTTAATCTACAGAATGTTCGAAATGTCATCTACCAAAAAGACAATTATACAACTTTACTGAGGTTAAACCAAATCAAGTAGTTTTTTTTTTGTTTTAATATGATAGAAGACTTGCAAGCTTTTATCTCATGAAAATTATAACTTTCAGACTCAATCTACAAAAAACACATCCCTTTTATCGAATTCCATAAAAAAAAAAAACGATAGGACTTTAGACTTAAGTTTTTTCGTTATTCTGGACTTTTTGCCATTCAGATGTTCACCGTTTACTTTATAAATTTTTGCACGACACTTAAGTAATTGTTATATTTCTTCAAAGCAATTCTTTCTTTGCTCATTAAAAACTTTGATAAGAAGTCAACTGATAATACTGACACAATATGAAGGTTTTCACAATCATCGAACTTGAGACTAATGACTCTAATTTTTCAAAACAAAAATACCATGCAAATATTTATCAAATAAGAGAAAAATACTTGGATGGCAAAAGTTCTAGACTAGTGACAGAAAAAAATTCAAGTCGTTTAGCAGAAAATCCTGCATTTGTTTGTTTTTCGAAACTCGATAACAGAGATTTTTTTATGCATTGCATCTGAAAGTTATAGTTTTCAAGAGATAAAAACTTTTAAGTCTTCTTTATTACTAAAAAAAAAGCCAATTGATTTGATTTAACTGCAGTGAAGACATGTAGTTTTCTATTTAGTAAGTGATTTTCCAAACACAATGTATATTGTTCATTTTTATGCAAAAACAAATCGATTCTAACAATTGAGATGTGTGTTATTTTTAAACATGTTCTAAATTTTTCTTGAATGTTGATATTAATTAATTAATCTTACTAGTTTTAAAGACAATCATTTGTTAGAGACAATGAAAATTATCAATATGGAAAGAAATAAACATAATAATACCTCAATCAGAAAAGTAAATGTTAAAGAGATTTGTTTATTCTCTTTTTCTTATAACAAAAAAAAACAAAAAACAAACATGTTAAATATCCCTTATAAATAGACGACAGGACCAGATTTTTCTAGGCGCTAAACACTCAAAAACAAAACAATAATAGTCGTTATAAAAAAGAAATCGGCATAGTAATCAACATGAAGACGAATAATAAAATAACAGCAATAATAATAATAGTAATGTTAATAATAAAGATTCACCTAAAGGGAATGAATAAAATGTCTTTTGTCTATTAATGTTTTATTTGTTTGGTTTATTCAACTTTCTTCTTTGGTACATCGTCACGATGATAAAGAACAACAAAACTAAGAAGAAATGCACCGATCATCATTGAAAATGATGAAATATAGTATGGATAAGCCGATGTTATAAAACGTTCATATTCCGTATGACGTAAAGGATGAACAGAAACCTATAATCAGAAGAAAAGTTAGTAAACAATTTGATGTAATTCTTTAAAAGTTTGTTCTTATATTCAAATTTTCTTTGAATACAAATGAAAGACAACAGATAATGTCTTTACTTCAGTCAGATGGTAAGCTCTGTCATCTTTTATGTGATCGAAGATTTCTTAAATTAAGATCGAAAGTCGAGATTTGACTTGAATAAAAGACCTACATTGCTAATGACTTGACAATAGTGTTAGCTTTTTTTACAAGTCAAGAAGAACTGTACGAGAAACTCGAGTTAGATAAACTAATAACTGCCGAAAGTTTTCTTTGCCTTCAGTGGCTAAGCTGAGATGTGTAAGAAATGTTTTCAACAAAGTAAACGAACTCAAAATGGAATTATTTTTCTTTTGGTGAATACTTTTACTTCACCATTACTTTATTTTTCAATAAAGTAGATCGAAAACTCTTCTTTCAAAAGTTGAAATTAAGTAAAAACAAATGTTGAAGTGTTTCTTTAAGCGCATGTCTTTCGACACAAGTTGCGAATTTTCTCTGAACTCTACCAGTTTGATACAGTACAAAACGTAAATTGAAAATCAGAAGCACAAGTTGTATTTTATCTGAATGGCAGAACAAGATTCGCTCTCTTGCTTTCTATTCTTAACGTCCCATTGAAGATCTCATAAAGACTGTCGAATCTACACTAGATTCAGAATGTTCCGGCGTCTATGCCATTCAAGTCTATCTGTTGCTTTATTTTTTTGTCATCGTTTCAAATATAAGATTTATATTTATTGAATAAAAACCTACTTGTGTTGCTGAAAATAAATGTGTATAACCAATACGATTATAATCAATAACAAATTTAAAGATACCATAAGTATCCGGAACACGAAATTGTGCTTCAAGTTGACCACCTAAATCACTAAATATCGTTATCATTAATAGAAAAAAAGTTATTTTTTTAACCTTTATTATTTAGCGTTGTTCGAACAAATGGATCAATACGAACAAATTCTAATTGAACATCTGTTCCATTAAATGGCATCCATTTTCCATGAACAAATTCATCAAATTGTACATTAAATACCTAAAATTGAACACAATTGAAACTATTTCTCTGGGCTTTTTTTTTCTAATATTTTATTTTTCATACAATATCATTTTTAACTGTATAAAATCTTGGTGTTGATTTATCATCTTTTAAATAATGATGAATATTTCTTGCACGTAAAACACCACGTTGTTTAAATAACCAATCAGTTAATGCAACAGCTAAATCTTGATTACCTGATTTATCATATCTAAATAAAAAATGATTCATTTTTTATAAGTAAACAAATACAAAAAACATTTTACTTCTTTCCATTATTTGCTTGTACTGAGCTTTGAAAAAAATCATTACTAAAAAAATCCAATGAACCAACAAAACCAACACGAGCATTATTACGAGCTTGAAGAACAGATATTAATAATGTTCGTTTACCAACTGTAGCTGGATACTAATCAAAAATAAAAATAATTCAATTTAATAATTGAAAATATTATTCATTCTTTACTTCAGATAATGTCTGTTCTTCAGGATTAGCTGTATACGATGTTGATGAAGCAGTTAAAACATCAAGTAATAATGGATTATCTGAGTCTGATGACATTCTTTAATAATAAAAAAAAAAATGAACAGTCCAAGAGAAAAAAAAGTACTTAGAGTATAGGAAAAGTAGTGGTGAAGATATTATAACTACTTATGAAAAGCTTAAAGAAACTTTTTTGGAGACTCGATTCATGTCTTCTCAGCACTTAATAAATATTGGAAAAAGTCGAAGTTGACTCAAAGTTTCTCTTATAGACCTAAGCCTCGAAGAGACACCAATCAAATTCCGAAAATATTTCAGTTTTTAAAAAAATCTCTTATATTAAATCTGACTCATTAATCAGACATTTAGTTGACTCCTATACAAATTTTTACTCTATGATCTGATAGTGAAAACAAAGCTCTGGATTTCTCTGATATTTAATCATTCTTCAACTAAAATTACAATAATAAAATTCCGATAAGAATTGTTTGTTATAATATGTTTCGACACGCAATTGTAATCGTTGAATTTATTTACTGAATATTTATAAAATTCTTCTTTATTCAAAGAATTCATGAGCTCGTTTACAACACAATGCAATGATTACGTCAAATAACGAAAAATCACATTTATTCAAGTAAAAAGTTAATGAACTTGTTTCTGTACTTATGCTTTATTCTATCATTACTATCTTTTGTATAACGTAATATTTAAAGACAGTTAGACACAGAGATTTTCTTTATTCAAATTCCCAAATGCAAAAAAAAGTTTTCTGCACTCAACAATCTCTCCAAAGCATGTTGGCCCACACGCAGGTAAGTTCTATACGTCTGGCTAGACATTAGAAAGGATAAGAAAAAAGATACGCATTCAAAACAAAATGTGATGTAATATAACCGTTACATATCATAACAAACAAGTCTTATCGAAATTTTATTATGATACTATTAATTATTAAATACGACAGAAAATGTAAAGCATTATTTTTAGACAAAAAAAAATTCTTTAAATTTTTTTATAAGGAATTAAAATACCTTTGCTAATACGTTTCCTATGGCCTAGGTAAATATTGAAATCTTACCCAGTTCCTCGAAAAAGAAATGGTAAACCATTTTTCTTTGTTTGTCCAACAATTAATTCCGATGAAAGAAGATTATTTGGACTTGCAACAATTAATGTATGCTAAAAAAATAAAGTTTTTGTATATATATATTTTTTTTTTTATAAAGATTTCTTTTGTTACTTGTCCATCATCATTAATATCAAAATTAATATGATCAATAACAGAACTTTTATCATCAGCAAATTCAATACCACATTCGCTAGCAAATTCACGAATAACATCACCTAGAATTATTTATTAATCATATATATGGAAACCATAAAAGTCATTCAAGATTATGTACCAACTGTATCACTGCCTGCAACAAGAACATTTCCACCAGCATCAACAAATTGTGTCAAAATTTCAGCATCCAAACGTCCACCAAATTCTAAAAATAGAAAATTTTCAATAAATAAAAAATAGAACAAAACAAAACATTCATTACCTTTCGTAGAAGGTGCAAAGATAATAACATGATCATAAAGATATTCACCATATTTAACAATTTGAAGACTACTATCATCGGATGATTTAAATGTTATTTCAAATCCATGATCTACGAATAAATTATTCAAAAACAAAAAAATCTCATTATTAGTCTTTTGAACAAAAGGAAAACAAAGAAGTCATCATTATTAATATAAGACAATCGTCAGATATAGTGTATTACTTCCAATCATAGACATTTCAGAATGTGAACAGCTATGAAAATGAAATTCATCCTTTGATTGCCAATATATGTCAAACAATAGGTTTTTCTATCCATCGACAGCAACATATCTAATTGACCAGAAACATCAAAGTACGTAAATGCTGCGATGTTGTTGATCTGAAGAAGTACTTCAACAAACTCTGAAATTCTTCATTCTCATTATTTCATTTTGTTAATCGAGAAAAGCAACATAAGTTTTTCATATTTGTTTTGATCGTCACTCATCAAAACGTATATGAAATATATCGAACCCGATGAAAACTATATTTAAAATGTACTAAGACACATTTAGTCTTTCTTCATATTTCTTTTTATCATTTGAAAACAACTGTGAAATATGTTGCTAATACAACTCTGCATTACGATCACAGTCATGAACAAACCCCGGCAGAGAAAAATGTTGTGCATTGATCATGACCAATTTGCTATGTTTTCTCTATCGAATGATACTATCTCTTCAAGTTTCCAACGAGATTTTGAAAGAAAAGATACAAAACCGACCCGTAAAATGGTATGACGAGTTTTGTCGAAAATTAATGCAATAAATCGCCTTATTCGATGGTCGAAATGACCGTCCCGTGTCTCACTTGGAAAAAATCGAAGTGAAATCATGCTTTCACTGATTACAAACTGATAAAAAACAATTTCATGCAAAAGAAGTCTTCATAATTCTCACCTTTTAATTGTTTAAAATAGAATGAATGTGATTCTCGTATACCCAAATTATCAAGTAATACTAATAAACGTTTTGATGAACCATCTATATTTAATGTTGATGCGTAAACAGATGCAAATAGAAATAATCCAATAGAAAAAATGAATAAACGAGCCATGGCTAGAAATCTAGAAAAATGATAGATATATTATCAATAAAAACTGTGAATCGTCGACAAAAAATCCATATTTTATCCAAATACGATACCACATTCGTCTCAACATGCAATTGCTTTATTGGATTTTCCAATCATAATTAACTAAAGATGTCACTTTTGTTTTTGTGTTTGATCAGAATATTTTTTTTTTTAAATGATAAGACAAGAGAAAAAAAAGAACATAAAGACGGAGAAGAAAAAGAAAATGTTTTATAATCCTTGGCTAAGATATGAAGTTATTGTTTTGTAACAATTTTCTTTTTTAAAGATCGAAAACTTTTGGTAAATCATTTCCAAGGACATCAACACGTTCAACACCGTCTTTATCAATTATAGCTAAACGAGCACAACCACCACTTGAACCATCGCGTGTTATAGCCAATGTTATACCTAAAAAGAAATATAAATAAAACTTTTCGTTGTTTTTTTTTTCTTGTGAATTAACCTTTTAATACAAAATCAAAACATTCTTGTTTTGTCATGTTTGATCGATAATTATTATCGAGATAACCCCAAATATATGTACTACCCGAACCACCGAGTGTAACTGGTTGTCGAACAAGTAAACCACCAATTGGACAAGAATAAACCTAAAAAATAATTGAGATGAGAAAATTTGAATATATGTTTTTTTTTTCTTTCGTTGCTATATAAAATTTACTTGGCCACCGAGTTTTTTATCCCATCCAGCAACAATCATACCAGCAACAAAATCATCACGATATTGATAAATTAAACGACGAACACAATTAGCAGCAATGCGTACAAGTGGTGGTTCATTCATCTCTGCTCTGAAATTAGATAAACATTTAAGGACTTCTTTGCTCGAACGAACTTCATTGTAAATCATCAAATAAATTTTGTTTTCTTCAAACTTACGAAAGAAAATCAAGTTGATATGTAACCACTTGAGCAATAGTTTGTGTATCTGCAGCACTACCAGATCGAAGACAAAATATTCGATCAGTTAACGGTGTTAATTTATCTGTAAATCGATTCATAACAAACGATCTATTCAAAAAGCAAAATCTTATCCTTTTCATAAAAATTTCCTTTGTTATTCATCGTACCCTGCTGAAGTACGTGTATCAGCACCAATGATTACTCCTCCATCATATTCAACAGCAACAATTGTTGTCTAAAATTAATGAATTTATTTTCAATTAAGTTTACAGTAAAGTCATCTTACACCAGTTGATACTGGTTGTTGTTGAAATTCTGCTGGTATAAGAAGTTTATCCATTTGACTATATTTTGTTCGTTCACGTAATTGATCTTCTTCAGCATCATAAGTCATTGGATTAAGTACGTCCATGATGTAATTTAAATCTAGAATGAATACTTTTATTTGTACGAGACAATCTTTTAAATAAAAAAAGAAAAGTTTTGTTTTTTTGGGTATAAAGAAATAACAAGAAAAAGATTATTTAATTATATGTCATATAACGTGGTGTTGAACTAAATTTGGCATAGGCTTTAATAACCTTATTAATAGCTTCAATAAAATCTTTTTCAGTGGCTATTTTTCGTCGTGCACGAATAGCAAACATTCCAGCTTCTGTACAAACACTACGTAATTCCGCACCGGTACTATTTGGACATAATCGAGCTAATAATTCATAACGTATATCTTTTTCTACACTCATTGATTTTGTATGAATTTTAAATATATGTGTTCGACCCTAAAGACATACAAAAATTATAGGTTTTCTTTTTTCTATTTGAATAGTTAAAATTTACTTCTAAATCTGGTAGATTAAATTCAACTTTTCGATCGAGTCGACCAGGACGAACAAGTGCTGGATCGAGTGTGTCCGGTCGATTTGTTGCCATTAGTACTTTAATATTTCCTCGCCGATCAAAACCATCTAATTGATTAATTAATTCAAGCATTGTACGTTGTACTTCATTATCACCACCAGCACCATCATCAAAACGTGCTCCACCAATAGCATCAACTTCATCAAAAAAGATTATACAAGCTTTTTTACCACGTGCCATTTCAAATAATTCACGAACCATACGTGCACCCTATTTAAAAACATCAAAAAAGGTATTTTAATTGAAATATATGTATGTTTGCATGTAAATTTATAATCAAACCTCGCCAACATATTTTTGAACAAGTTCAGAACCAATAACACGAATAAAACAAGCATCAGTTCTAAAAAAAGACAGTTTTATTGATATATAATTAACAAGTTATTAAAAAGCAATTTGACAAAATATTCAGTTTTTCAAAGAGTCTTCAGAAAATTTGAAAACATTGAGTTTGGACGAGTTTCAACACGACAAAAGTAAAAGCGAAAATTATATCAAATACAGCGCATGAAAGAACAAGCATTTCTCTATAAAATGATATATTCATGATTGGCTTACACCAAATCATATGTCAATAGTGAGCTTTTGATAAGGTTCACTGTGTCGATTTCTATGAAAAAAAAGACTTCCGAAATGAGCTCGGTCATTCCTAGATGATTATTCTGAAACTCTTGATTTTTAGATCACTCAGAAAAGAACATTTTCATGCTTCTCAAAATGTCGACTCATAAATTCTAAATTGTAAGTTCTAGAGAAATGTTAAATCTATATTCGGAAACCATACAAAATTTTGACTCAATCTACTTTTTAATAACTCGTTATACATCAATATTGTTTACAAATTTACTTAGTATTTATTTTACCTATTAGCAACAGCTCGTGCACATAATGTTTTTCCTGTGCCCGGCGGTCCATATAATAGAACACCTTTAGGAGGTTCAATACCCAAATTAACAAATTTTTCCGGCTAAATAAAAATTTCAAAAATCATGATTATTTTCGTTTTTCTTCTGTTATTTTCTTACATGTAAAAGTGGAAGTTCAACAACTTCACGAAGTTTTTCAATTTGTTCTTTACATCCACCAACATCACTATATGTAACATCAGGTTTTTCTTCAACTTGCATCATTGTAACTGATGGATCAATTTTTGGTGGTAACGGTAAATGTATTTGATATTTATTTCGATCAACTCTAGATAAAATTTTGATAAACAAATATATGAAAATTCAAATTTGATTTCTTGTTTTTTATTTACCCAACACGCATTCCTTCTTCAATATCTGTTGGTGAAACAGTATCAGCAAGATCAACAACAAATTTTGCAAATTGTTTTACATTAATTATATATTTAGCATCATCACTTCCTTCATTGATTATTTTTGTACAGCGTGCTACTTGTAATGGTTGTTCACCTAGAAAAAAAAATACAACTACTGATTTAAAAACGAAGTATATAAATTTACTTTGAAGTGCTTGTTTATCAGCAGCTAAATCCCATAGTGCAGGAGGTGCAAGACCAGTGTCTGATTCTTTAATACCAGATAGTTCATTTACTCGTTTTAATGTTGTTTGTACATCTTCTTCTGTTTCTTTTATAGCTTTATCATATGGACCAGCTCCCTAGAAGAATTCTTTTAGATGTTTATTTTAATGAAATTATTAACTTACATAAGACTTTAGAAGTGCAATTTCTGCTTCATCAAGTGCTAAAAGAATGATATAATCGTATATTTTTTAATATAGATTGAAGAAAAAACATATGATAATTTACCTTTAATAGGTTTATCTTCATCTTTATCATCTTTTTGTTTAGTTTTTCGTTGATCTTCACCTAGATAATCTGGCATTTGCTTATTTTCTTTTAAAATTCTGCAAATAACTCTATCCTATTGAAAGAAATGAAGAAATGAATGAACGAACGAAAATTGACTGTATACTAATGAGTCATTGAAAGAACTTTTTTTAAAGTTTAATTTTGTTTTTAAATTATCTTTGAACTATTCTTTTTATTTATTTATTTTTCTTTTACAACAAAATATAACTTTTTTCATAAAACAAAAACAAACATATTTATCAGTGACATCTCTAGAAATTCTGTTACTATAGAAATAAGAATTGCAAATGGTAATAGTTATATTAAAAAGTTATTTTCTTCTTATCAATTATAAAAAATGGCATCTCGAGCTGAAAAAATAGATCGATTTCCAAATAAAATTCTTATTAATGTTTCTGAAATACAAAATCTTGTATGTATTTTATTAGAATAAAGAAATCATTTAATTTAGAATTTTTTTATTTAATAGAAAAGTCCACGAGCTGAACCATTAACTATATTTCTTCGTTTTGAATATAATGATGGACAATTTTCTGAATCAGGAAAATTTGATGTTACTGATGGAAGTCCACGAAAAGTCGATCATAATGCTATATTAGGTGTTAATGCTTCAGATCCAGTACAAATTGATGATTTAGGACAAAAACCTGTTTTAGGTAAAATTAAAAAAAAAAGAAACATCTTATTAATAATCATATGATTCTTCTTTTCTTATTTAGTTACATTATTTGAAGCTCAACCAAAAGATAAAAAACAAAAAGAAGATAAATCAACACCTATTGGACAAGCTATACTTGATCTTTGGCCTTTACTTAAAAGTAAATTCTATTTATTGTTTTAATTGAAGATATTAATATGGATTTGATTTCAGATGAAACTCAAATTTCAGTTAATATACCAATTTATGCCATTCCTGGATCATATCTTGAAACACAAGGAGAACAAAATCAGGTATTATGAAAAAAAAATAGTTAATTCGCCTAACATTGCTTTGATCAATGTTATAAAGAAAATAGTTGATGAAGTGTGTAGAAATGTTTGGGTTGTTTTGTTGCCATTATATTTGTAATTGATTTCGATCGTGATGAAGTCAACTAAGATAAACTTAAGTTTGATTATTACTCTTCCACTTGTGTTCAAGGTCTTTATTCTCTATATAAAACGAATACATGCGATCTGTAAACAATAGGCAACATATTGATATTTATTCATATTAGATATGAAATAGAATGAAACTTCATGAGCTATCATTTAATAAAAGTAAACATTTCGTTCCATCACTCTGTCTTTAAAATATCGAGCTTAGAAAATCGATAATTTTGAAAAAAATGAAAAATTTGAAGTTTTTTAAACAAAATAATTCTTAACTATCAGCAAGTTGAGAGCTTTAGGACTTGCTGAATGATATCGATCGACGAATTATAAACAATAAGTTGAAAATTGATCATATTGCCATTATTGACCAGACAGAACAATCAAGAATAGAGTTCATATATGTATTATAAACCTCATTACATGAAAAGTTAAAATAATATTGGATATGGATAAAATATCTTGTGTAGTTATATGATTTCTCAAAGAAAAACAGGTGATTATTTGACAATAGGAGTATCAACTGTATTAGTCTGCCGAATATTGCCATGAAAGAAAAGAACAAAGCAGTACTTTATTTTGTTCAATCTTTAGGTTTTACTGCATGGTCATTCAAATAACTAAAATCATCCTACACCACAAACATAACATCAGATGCATTTGACCACACTGCTAGTATATTAGAAAGGCTAATACTCTATTGATAAAATTATTTTGTCAATGGTTCTTCGGAAACTGTCGTAGAGGAGTGAAGGGTTAAGTTAAGAGTAAAAAAAAAACTTATTGTATAAGTTCACAAAAATATGACAAATTTATAGAGCAACATAAAATTTCCTTGTTATCTTCTATCGATTGATTATGATAATTAATAACAGTACACTTTTCATCAGCAAGACTATTTGTTTTACGTTCATTGAAATAAATAATATTGAAACATGCGTAAACAAATATTTTTCTAACCAAGACAACAGCAATAGTATTTTTTCTAAAACTATTTATTTATTTATTTTTTAGCCATTTTTAAATGTCAATGTCAGTATCGATCAACCACTTATTCCTGTTCGTGATCAACATAATACAAATGCAGTTCATATTACATTAGAAGGTTTATATTCACCACCGGAAGGATGGTTACCTGGTGGTACATCATTTGTTTATACAGCAACATTACCAATTCCAGTTAATGATGATGTAAGTCATTCAATCAATAATTCTTTTTTTTTTTATTATAAAGTTTTTCAATAGAAAGAAACAACTGTTGTATTTACAAATGGTACACTTCGTGCGGCAACTGATGTAACAAATAAACAAAAACGTTGGCCTGATGCTCGTGGTATTGTTACTCTGAATGGTACTTATATACCAGGACAGTAAGTTAATAAAAATAGATTTATATTTATAGTTAAAGAAAAAAAAAATTATATTCTAGAATTATAAATGAAGAATCAATTGATGATGAACAAGGGGACTTACATAGTAAAGATGATAAAGAATTTCGAACTAATTCAGAAAAAACAAAACCACAAGTTGTATGGAATATTGAACGACGATGTTTTTTACTTCCAGCGGGAAGTCAAAGGTATTAGAAAAATTTCTTTGTTTTACAAAACAAAAAGAATTCAATTAATTTCAAATATTCAAAGCTTACATCATCAAATAACACGTGTACCTTATTTACCAGTTGAAATTGTCCGTACAGCTACACCAACAGCACCTAAGGGAAAAAAGGTTAATTTTCAATAAACTTAACAATAACAAATTTCCGAATAGATAATTTTTATAGGATGAAGATACTGGTATTAGTTATCATGGTATTGTTTATATCGAAACAGCACCCCTTCTTTACCCAGGCGGTAGGTCAAATCTAAAGAATCATAAAATAAAATTTTTTTTTTTCTCTATAGCAACAAGACTTCGAGGTGCCTATAAAATTGTACCATATAATGAAACTGAATATAAAACTAAAGTAATATTAATAAACAAAAAACAAGATTTCATGATGAGTATGCTGTTTCTTTTTTTTGTTTTTGAATAGACAAAACGATCGAGTAATATAATTGATGAAGCAATGAAAATAGCTAATCAATTATTTGATCGTTCATCTTTAAATGCCAATAAGAAAGATACAAAATTAGTAGTTGATAAACAAGCAACTGCTGGTACTGCAACTAGCATACCAAAAAAAGTAATTAAATGTTTTGTTTTTAGTGGAAATCGTTGTTTTTTTGTTTTGTATCAGTTAAAGAAAAAAAGATACTCTTCACAATCACCTAAAAATAAAAAACGATTGAAAAAACATCGAAATTTATCATTGGAAGAAAAATTTCTGACGAAAAAATTTGTACAAGTCATTGCTAAATTGCAAGCTATCTTTGCCTATAATTTTAATGTTTATATTTACAAGAAGTTTTCATTGATCTCTTGTCTTTTTTTTTCAGAAAACAGAATTAGGTGAAGAAGCATCTTCAGTAACAACAGAAGCTCAACAATACATTGAATATAGTTCTTATGTAACTATTGATATTGTTCTTGATCGACCTATCATTGAAAAACGAAAATTAAGTGAATTATATCGAAAGTATGAAAATATTTGTTTAAATTACAAAAAACAAAACAAAATTTTGTATTTAAAGAATTTCTGATCTTATTCCACCACGTCCAAGTTATCCAATAAAAGTAAATAGTGCTGAAAAAGCTGTAGAAGATTATCATCAACAAATTAAAAATGTTTGTAGTTTAATACTTGATGAATATCGGTTAGAAAAAAACCAAAATTTTAAATTCAATTTTGATTATGTTTATCTTATATAGAAAAGTATGTGTTGATGAAATAAATACAGACTCAACTCTTCCGAATGATCAAAAGTAAAATTTTGTTTTTCTTTAAAATTATTATTAATCTTTTTTTTCTTTAGACGTCGTAAATTATTATATGAACTTAATTCAACTGGTAAATATTTTGCATTTAAAGAACAACTTAAACATAGTGTGATAAAAATTGTTCGAGAAAAATTCCTTCATACAATTAAATTTAATAATCCTGATGAACTTTAAGTAAAAATTTTTTTTTTTTTTTTTTTTTATAAAATAAATTTCGTTTTTATTCTGTTCATTTTAGACATTTGTTAGTCAATTATATGTATTTCTTCTTGATGAAATGCATCGTTCATTAAATAAATCATTAAATATTGAAGAACCTGAACCAGTACCACCATCAAGAAATACGGATGCACAATTACGTATATTTGCACTTGAAGCAGAAAGTAATGGAGATTATCTATTAGCAGCTCATTATTATAAACAAGTAGATTTATATTTGTACGAAGAAGAAGAATTGAAAAAAAACGCGTGTCTGTTTTTTTTCGCTTTTAGCGTCTTGCACAAAACTCTGATAAACTTCGTCCATGGCTTGATTTTGCTGCTTTCCATTTACTTGTTAATGATTTAATTAAAGCTGAAGAATGTCTTAAAGAATGTCTTGCAATTGAACAAACGAATAGTACTGTGTAAGAAAATGTTTCAAGTTTTTTAGAATAGAAAAATCATACATTCAAAATTGAATTAGAGGTTAGAATTATGAGTTGACGAACATTCAGTTTTGAAGATCATATCAGAGTACTGAGTTCAACAGTTTCTTAGATACGAACTAGAACTGAACCTGTCGACCTATGATTACTTGTTTTAAGTTGCTAAATGAATATTAAAACTTAGAAAAATAAAGTTTTAAATGCTGTTATGCCTTCATAGACATTGGCATCAGTGAAACTTGCCGATTCTGTAGACAGTGACAAGTACAAGGGTCTATTACGGTCATGATAGAATTATTAGAAATTATTTAGAGACTATTGTTTATGATGGAAGTACCTATATTAGGTTTCAATTCTATTGAAATGGAATTAAAAGCTTAATCATAGAAAAGTGTGATCAAAGTTTTTTTTTCTCTGGAATTTATTTGCTTTGAAAGGATACAAACTTGAAATTTTCTATTAAAGGAAAGAATTTTAGAAGTCACATTTTGTGAAAAGCGATCTAAAACGAGTGTTAAAGTATATAGGATGAAAATTTGCACCCTTCCACCAATCGTGACAGGCATTGTTCATATATGATCAAAGATGATATATCAATAGCATCTTATTATTTTGTATGAACTACTTCTGTATTGCAATTCTCGAGGTTACAGTAAAAGAATGATGAAAAAATGAGTCCCGAAATAGATAGAATAAAACAATCTCTTTGTAATTAGCAAGAGCAGCTATGTCATGTTTCACATTTTAATCCCACACGAATTGCGCTAATAGTATTTTCTTATATTTTTAATTCAAAAGATCCATATGATTAATATTTTATATATTCAATAATATATATATGATTTCTTTTTGCCTATAGATCAATTTTATATGCTGTTCTCAATGCTATATTGGAAAATAATGAAGTTGCTGATTTATTTTTTGAAACTGCTACAACGGAAGATAGTGAAAATGTAGTTGCATGGACACTTTATGGTAAGATAAAAGTTCATTGAATTAAATTTATCTTTATTTTTTCTAATTAGCTATTTTTCAAAAACATATTGGTAATGAAAAAAATGCTCAAATAACATTAGGAAGAGCTGAAAAACTTCAACGAGCTATTTTAAAGAATGAAGAAGAACAAGCAACAGCAGGAGCCAATATAACAGTAACACCACCAATAAGTGATGAAAAACGTGAAGAAGAAGAAAAAGATCGCCCTGTTGGTGAAGAAAAAGGTTAAATCTTTTTGTTATTCAATTATACATAATAATTATCTATATTTATTTTTTAGAAGAAATAACAAAAAGTTCAGATTCTCAACTAAACGTTGCATCAAAAAGTCGCCTTAGCCGTAGTAGTCGATCAAGTAAACAAAAACAAGGTAAACGGATAATAATAAAACAAACTAACTGACATATTTCTAAATTCATTAGAAAAACCAAAATCAGTTGCTAACGAACCAACAATAGCTCGAAAATCTCAAGATATTTCAAGTTCAATAGAAATTGAAAAAGTAACAAGTAAAAAAAGTATTTATCTCAAATCAGCTGAATTTTTACTCAAATACAATATTGCTACGGTATGAACGGCACCTATCAATTTTTTCGATAATTTTTGACTACAGTAAAGCATACATGCAGTCATTCTAGACAAAGATTTTCTTTATCTAATAATGTATCAGAGATTCGCGAGTCAGCCTCACACTGTAGTACACGCTCACGTAAGATTGAGCAACCTTGTACGGACCGTGTGCTATACCATTTTATGGTTTGTGACGTTCTGGGAAAGTGCTGAATAAAAGAATTACGTATGGTGAAATGCGTTCACAGAGCAAAATTCGAAAGAAACGTGTCATGTGCGTAAGCGAGTGATAGACACGAGACTGATTTGCAGATTTTTGTAGTTGAAACATTATCAAGTTCTATTGCTTACTGTTGTTATGTCAATAGGTAGCGCCGTCAATCCTCAGGTCACTAGTACGCAGTAGAATCTGATAGTACATATACTATTAGATAGATGAAGTTTTTCTCAAGAAAACTGCACATATCTCGTTCTGTAGCCAAAACTTTTTAGTCACCCTTTCCTATCATTATGATTCAAGGTTTGTTTGTTTGTTTTGTATACCTAGTGGGCAGAAAAAGCGTTAGCTTTTGAATATCTTGCTAATAGTGGTAAAGATCAACAAGTAGAAATAGCATTAGCCAAAGCAAAAATTCTTCAACAAGATTTTGCATCAGCTGAAACACATATTACACAAGCCTTATCAATTGATTATGAAAATGTTGAAGCATGGGCACTTTGGGGACATGTGAAATACTTACAATTAGATTTTGAAGCTGCAAAAGGTTTTATTTTTTAAGAAAATAAATAAAATAAATATTGATATGTGTGTTTTTTTTTGTTTGATGATTTTTCAGGTCGATATCAACGTACATTAGTTTTTTCAGAAAAACCACCAGATCTTCATACAGTTTATATTCGACTTGGTGCGATTCTTTTATCAGAAGGAAATGAATCAAGTGTATGTTGATTATTTGTTTGTTCTTATTCTAAGATTATTTTAATTTTGTTCTATTAGTATTCTGAAGCAAAAGAAATCTTTTTACGTGCATGTCGTTATCAACCAACATGTACAACATATTTAGGTCTTGGCATTGCTTGTTATCGAGTATGATAGGAGTTTATATTTATTATTAGAAAATATAAAATTACTCTTCTTTTTAGATGAATCAATATGATGATGCAGAAGAAGCACTTACAGAAGCAAATTTTCTTAATAATCAAAATGCAGGTAAGATATTAATTATGAATAAAACATTGAAAATTACTATTTGAATTTATAGATGTTTGGGGTTATTTAACTCTTATTTGTTTACAAACAAAACGATACATTGAAGCTGAGCAAAGTTACAAATATGCGATTAAGGTAGGACTATACTTTGAATAAAATCTCAACACGTTCGAATCACTATTAAATATAAGAGAACATTCTAACTAAAATACCAGGACTACAGAATTGTTTCGGGAGAATAGATAAGCTACAGGATAGTCAATGAATATATATTTTATACGTTAGAATGAAAAATTCTAATCTGATTTTAACATTATTATTCGAATTGGATTCAAAACATTCGTATCCTTTCGAAATCTTTCGGAAGAGATATTGCAACATAGAATTGGAACTCTTCTGAAAAGCGTTCATTTGTCTATAGCATCTTAACTAAGGATGCAACTGTGACAATTGATCACTACCCACTCTAAAATGTTCTAAACAAACATTGAGGGTAAATGGGCGAAGGTACATAAAAAAATCCTCATTTATATCAACATACACGCGACGAATTGTACGATCACTGGCTTTTTTAGTACTACTCAATTCTTTTAACATAAATCTGTCTTAATAATGTAGCAAGCGGTTTTAGCGTAGATTTGTTGATTCAAATAGTTTCTACCTACCGAATTTATTTCAAAAGCTGAAAATCTAATATTTAAGATATAAAAAGTTCAGAAACTTTCTAATGGATATTTCGAGTAAATTGATATACATGTTTTTTTAATTCTCTTTAACATATTGTTTCTATCAAGTTTGCCAAATTTTACATTAGTATTAATCATTGAGAAAAACACATTTTTTGCACGACATTTCCTCGAATCATTCTCTAGAAATCCGAAACAAATGACATATTCGCCAACGATTTATCAATAATTGTCTTTTTTTGCCCCTCTCCAAAAAGTCACTTTTCATCAGAATGATCTAAATTCAGATAAATGCAGGAAAAGATAGGTCGTGGCCGATCTGTCCTAAGTGACAGAGTTTTTTCCCCAGCATCTCGTTATTCTTGAAAAATTTTTTGAATATTTTCGTCATCCCCTACTAGAAAACTGCTGTTTTTAGAAAATACGGAAATTTTTTTTTCGTTTTTCTCTGTTTATGTTCTTTTGATCTTTCATCGCAGAATTCTCGAAGCAATTTCATTGTAGTCAATTGCTGTTTTTTGTTTGAAAGAGCATGTCACGATACAGGAGATGATAAAGTTCCTTTTTTGAATCAAGCTTTCTTATTGTTATATAAAAAAAAGTACTGTTGCAATTAGAGAAGTACTTTTTTGAGAGTCTTTCCAGACATTGCACTTTTCTCCATTGAAAAAGTAAGAATTTAAAAGAAAGCACTGTGTCATGCCCTGCATCCTGACATGCTCTTTCAAATAAAAGAAGAACGTCTATAGAATGAAGGCTCACTTAGAATTTCAGGTCGCCAAATGAGCTGTTTTTGACTGTAGTTTGTTGAATACCTCCTTGAAGCATCATAATATGAGGCTCATAATTTTATGTGATTTCAATGTTTCCGGTCAAAGATCAGTTTTTGAGTGGAGGGAGGCTTAAACAGAATGAAATTACAATCAAGAATTTGTCATTTTCTCTTTAGCTCGATCTTCCAGCGGGTCCATTACTTGATGAAATCAATACAGTACAGCGTCAAGTTGGTTTTGGCGATCCAAGTTTTTAGAACATATTATTAATAATTCTCTTCTTTTTTTTTTTATTTTTCTTTTATAAATCATAACACAATGAGAAAAAAAGAAACATAATACGCTCTTTACAAAATATACACAATTACGTATTCATCTATTTATTTTCTTTCTTTTAATCATGCAAGCACTAATTATAATCAAAGAAACAGATGAGAAGAGCGACAGAATAAAGTTTTGAAAATAAAACAACAAAACATTCAATCATAATTTATGTTGTTTGATTTGGTTGAACTAAATAAAGAAGAAAAAAGAAAATCAAAGTATATTTATTATAAATAACTATTCAATTAAAATAATTAATAAGCACTAGCAAATTTTTGATACGAACTTAATTTTCTTCTGAAATAAGAATTATTAAAATATTGGAAAAGTATTTTTTTTTTTGCTAAAATAATTTCTTACGTTTTGGCATTCGTTTCGTTCTTGAACGTAGATTATATGTTGGAGTTATTGCTGAATTTCCTATGAAAATACAAATCATATCGTATAAAGAAAAAAAAAAAAGAAAACTTTTTTGTTTACCTTGAAAATTTGTTCCAGCATCATTATCTCCTTCTTCATCAACAGCTGGTAATCTTATTGTAGATAAATCATTTCCACGACGCTATAAAAGAATAAAATTAGAAAATGTATTATTAGAATAATATTATACTTTTCGTTTTTTTGTTGATGGTGGTTCTGAACAAGTTGACATGGCATCATCATTATCTATTTAAAAGAATAAATATTGTCTAGATATATATTATATGATAATGTTTTATTACCTTCAGCTGCTTCATCACCAGTGTTTAATATTGTTTGATAATCGACACTTTGTGAGCGAGTCTTAAGAATAAAAACAAAATGAATTCAAGAAATATAGGATTGATTCAAACTTACAGAACGAAGTTGTATTGGTGTTTGTTCGTTTGAGGAACTAGAAAAGAAATTCAGATTAGGTATTAGATTATGTGAATTTCGGTTTGATGCGAAATTCTCGTAGCTTTTGGGCCTGAACTCAAATTCCTCTTATTAACTTTCCATAGCACTTAGCGGCATGCATTTTCAATAAAACATAATGCCCAGCAGGCAGAACCTGAATAGTTGCCCCGAAAGTTCAAGTTACTTTTTCCCGGATTTTTGTATTTATTGACTAGCGCACCATGCATTATTCTCAGACGACTAGAATCTATCAGGCCCAAGATTTTCAGGCTCGGGACTAACCCGACGGACTCTACCAATAGGACAATATAGTGCTGAGCAGCTTGCATTGATCCTATGAGAAGTAATGTGGTTTTTTGAAATTATTATTAATTGTATACGATAAGTGTCAACTTAAAAAGCAAAGCGTTCAATAGAACTACGAAGTGATGCTGCTCCGATTCACTTTCAACTAATCAGTAGTTCTTCATAAATGTTGCCAATTTCTCGATGCCATCCTGTTGAATGGCATCCACAACTATAGTTTGATATGAATTTGTATTATTAATAAGTAATTTTTAATGAAAATGCATACCGCTGAGCAATAAGGAGTGTATCAAGTATTCATAAGAATAGGGATTTTAATGAGAGAAACTTCGGATCGGATTGAAATTGAGACATATCTCAGGAATTTTATTTAAAATAATTATTCTACTTACATAATCCGACGACGTTTTGATGGTGTCTTAAGTTCCACAGCAGCATCCAATGAACTATCATCAATGCTCTGGAAAAAAACAACAAATCAATTTTTAAAGAGAATAAAACAATATTGTTACCAAATCATGTTGTGTTAAACTTGGTGATGGAGGTTCACTAATAATTAGAACTATTAGTTTGTTTAAAAATTTTAATAATTCATTTTTACCTAATAGGTAAATTGTGTTCTTTTGTTTGTCGAGCATATTTTTCTTTTAATGCAAAAAATTCTTTTTCTAAATTAATCATTTTTGTTTCATACTAATGAAAAAAAAAAATAAAAAAAAATTCTTCAAATGAATTATCAAAATAAAACTTACATCAATAATACGTTCATGTAAAATTCGAATATCATTTTCTTTAAGTGTTATAGTTTCTTTTAATGATGTATTTGTTACATGTGAACTATCTAATTCAGTTTTTAATTTAAATATTTCCATTTCAAATACTTCTTCCTAGAAAATAAAAATATATAATTGGAATGATATATACCTCGGTATGAAATAATAATTTGATAAATTCAACTAGTAAATATAAATGAATTAATTTGACTAAAAAAAAGTATAGATAAAGTAGAATTTCATCTATGAATTTACATTTACCATTGAGGATTCAGATAAAGTTAGTTTGATTTTAATTATTGAAAACTTCGATTCTACTTGAGATAATCAAAATTCTTCTGCGCAACATTGTCCTGAAATGAGGGAGTTGAGGGATAGCCCTCCCGATCTTAAAAAATCTTTGTGATTCTCCAAAAAAATCCGATCAACGTTAGCAAAACCTCCCAATTAGTCTTCTGAATCATCGAAACTCTTCATTCTGCCGCTCTCAGGACATCCATAATTTCATCGATCTCTGTACACCATATTTATTCAAGATCGTTATTATGATGTTTGTTTATTATCGTAATTTCATTAGGTTTCTGAGACCTTAAAACCTCAAGACAGTTTTACAAGTGATGAGCGCATTTTATTTGAAATCATTAATGACTATCAGACTTGGATCTATTATTTGTAATACTGGATGAATGTTATTATAAGAATCATGTCCAGCAAGAAAGATAATCCATCGAGTGACACTTATTGGTAATGGGGTCCAAAAAAAATCAGATTTGTCATCCTGTTTATGATATTTAAGGAGCGCAACGAATCTGGAGTACATTTGAGACTAAGCCTTTGGGATTTTATTTAGGTTTGCAAGGATATATTTGGACCAAAGCTTGAAATTGCGTTCAATTTTTACAGATCACAAATAGTTTGGAATATTGTGATGCATATATTCGCAATATTACTCATATTCTCATCCACCGTCATGATAGTGTTTATATAGAACTACAAAGATTTCATAGTTGACGGTATGTTGTTTTATCAAACCAAACCCAAAGCTTTGCATCAGTATGATATTTGCATCATTATTTGTCATAAAGTAATTTCTATAATGGTTAGTAAAACCATCGATGTTTATGATGAAGGCTTAACATCGCAAATAAAAGAAAATCATTGTGACTAAGCCGTATCAGTGTTCATCATGATCATGTAAATAGCATAGGAAAAATAATGTCTAGTTAAGGCTGGTCTAGAAACTGAAATTGCAGACTTTTATATTTCTTGCAATGTGTTCAAAACAGACTAGATAGCTCATAGTCATATAAAATTTAGCTAAAGTTATAATCAAGAAGTTCAATTCAAAAATCTGTCGTACATTTCGAAAAGATCTTTGAGAAATGATTTTAAAATATGTAATCTCATATCAAACATCATAATAATAATCTTGAATGTATTTGATATAGAGAGATTAAAGAAATTTGTTTTCGATACATAGATATATCAGATATGTGGTGTTCATATCATCAACTGTTTGAAAGATTATGTCAAGATGCACGGCATGATAGAATGCCTTGTTTTTGATTTAACCTTAATTAAGAAAAGAGCACTTTTATATTTAGAATCCAATGTTTTTGAGAATTTGTCCACTTAAAAAGTAAGAACGTAAAAAAAGCATTTGCTCATGCTCAAGTATATAAAATGAAAGTCCATAGAGAATTTAGAGTTGCCAAATGACCTATTTTTAAGTTATATTTGCTGAATATCTCCATCAAACATCATGATAGACGACTGGAAATTGTATGCGATTTGAATATATTTGGTCCAAGATCAATTTATGAGGAGCGAACTTAAAATAATGATAGTATATCGTACTCTTTGTAACTTATTATATTCAAAGAATGAAACAATTTAAACAAATGTATTTCGAATGAAATACCTATGAAGCAAAAGTGTTCGAATTTTTTGTTTGTTATATGAATTTTTTAACTATATTTTTTACCTTTTCTTTAAATTCATTCAAAGATTTTTGTTGTTCTTCTTGAGCAGTTTCAAGACGTTTTTCAACTGCATCACATTCATTTCGACTATCTCTTAATGCTAATGCAATACACAAAAAATAATGAATAAATAAATTCTTCATGTTTGTTTTACCTTTACGCATTTCTTCCATTTTCTCTTCATATTCTTTTTTATCTGTTGCCATTTGCTAAATTTAAGAAAACAAAAATAATTAAATCAGTTATGTTTGTTTGTTTGTTTCTAAATAAAGTTTTACTTTTTGAATATTTTCAATTTTTTCTGTTAATTTATTAGTCCAATTTCTTAATTGTTGTGTACGTTCTTCTTCTTCTTTAAGACGATTTTCAAGCGTAGCCGATGGTAAAAGACGTGTTAAAACTGTTGTTGTATCAGCATTACGTAATTTACTTTCCAATTCAGCAATCTTTTAAAATTTATCAAAAACAAAAGAATAAATTTTCTTCATTAATAAAAATAAATTTTACTTTTGCTGCTGATTTCGTTTGTTCATCTTGATATTTCAAACGCATTTCTTCACATTGACGTTCAAGTTTTTGTAAATCATTTTGAGCATCTTTTGCTTTTATTTTTAATGATTCCGTTATGGCAAAATGTTGTTCAAGATCATATTGATGGCGTTGTTGTAATTGTCGATAAAGAATTTCAAGTTTTGTTAAATTAGTTATATGAGCTGGTGTTCCATTTGTTAATTCAGTTTGTTTAATACAATCTTTCATGAGTGACTAAAAACAAGAAAAAATTGCTTTTTTTTGGAGGAGGAATTGAAAGTGTCAATTTTTTTTACATTTAATTCTTCAACTGATTGTTGTAATCGAGTATTAAGAAGATTTTCTTCTTGATTATTTGTTTTTATTTCAATATCTTGTTTAATACGATTAAGAACTTGTTCTTGTAATTGACTCATTTGTTGTTTTTCATTTTGAAGTTTATCAATTTCAGTTTTTAAATTTGATACAGCCTAATTGATAGACAAAACAACAAAAAATCGATAGAAGAAATAAGAACGAAAATTTTTTATTTTACCGATAATAATTGATCATATTCATGTTGAATAGTTCGATTTTGTTCTCGTAATTGTTCACATATTAATTCATATGTTTGAACATTAGCTAGAAGAGAATTTGTACGTTGAAGACTTTCATCAATAATACGTTGAAAATCATCGATCTAGAAAGAAGAATTTAGTTTTCAAAAAAAAAAAAAAAATAGATTTTTTATTAATTACCTTTTGTTTATCATTAAGATTTTGTCTTTGTGCATAATCTAATTTTTGTTGAGTAAGTCTAAAAGATGAGATTTATAGAGAATTAATTAGATAAATTTTGTTTGATCTATTAAAAAATCAGACTTGATGTAAGTTTGATAATGGACAGAGGTTTTCTAGAGTAGAGTAATGACTAGAAAATTCCTTCCAATCAAGGTACAGGGCACAAAAAGAGAGCTTCGCTCATTGTCGCGTGGATACTGCAATTTTATGATAGTTTTTATAATGAATGCTGTAGTAACAGAAAAAAACGGATTATCTAATTTCGACTTGAAACTTTGCACATAGACAAGTCTTAAAAAGATCAGATAATTCTTTCAAAGAAACAATTCTTGTTAAGATGTATCTCAATGTGAAGTTTGAAATCGAAATTGGAAAATCAATTTTTCTGTTCCCATGGCATTCATTAAAAAAACCGCGTAAAAGTGCAGTATCACTGCAGCAATAGACCAAGAACACAAACTCTTTCCAAAGTATTCATAGCTGATTTGTGTATATCCTAATGTGTGTAGTTCCGAGTCAAAAGCGATTAATCAATTGGACAACTTTCTTTGTGAGCGTTTTTTTGTTCTGTAATATAGATTTTTAATACATTCTTCTGTTGTATTTATATTTCTCTGTTGAAAAGAAAAAGAAACAATGAAAATATCTCTTACTTCATATCATCATTAATTCTATTTATTTCAAGATCTTTTTCATCAGAAATTCTTTGTAAATATTTAATATTATCTTCAATATGTTTTAAATCATTTAAATTTATATCTGTTTGTATATTGGCTGTAGATAATATAGTTTTCGGTAAATTTTGATTTTGTCCACGATCAAGTACTTGTTTAGCAAGTGTTTGTATATTAATATCAGTTCGTGTTTGATCAAGTTTTATACGAAGTTGTTCAATATTTTCTTTTAATAAATATTCACGTTGTGATATTTCATTAATTTCTTTTGAATGAGTTTCTTCTAATTCAACAATAAATCTATCTGTTTCACGTATATCAGCTAATGTTTTCATATACTGTTCATAAAGTTCTTCAACACTATTAAATGTAACAACACCTTGTCTTATAAGTATTTCATTATCAATCATTGATGATAATGAATGTAAATGACCTTTGATATTACCATTTTCAAGTAAATGAAATATTTGTGCACGCATATTATTACGATCATCTAAACAATCATCATAATCACGAGTTTTTTGTTGTAATTGTCTATCTAAATCAAGTTTTTCTTTAAATAATGTTTGTTTATCACGTATAGCTTGTTCATATTCTGTTAGACGACTATCAGCTAAAAATTTTAAACGTTCATTTTGAATTTTGAATTGTTGTAATTCTGATTGAGTTTGATGTAAAAGCTAAATAAAGAAAAAAAACGAAAGATTTTGTTTTTTCATCATGATTCAAAAAATATAAAATATATACATTTTCATTATAACGTCGTTGAGACTCAACTTTTTCTTTCAGATTTGTTAAAGTTTCATTTTGTTTTTGTAAGAGTACGTAATCAACAAGAATCTGTAAGAAAAATAAATGAAATAAACAGAAAATGAAAATTTTCATTTACATCGAATAGACTTTTTGATGAACGATAAATAGCAAGAATTGATGCACTATTAGGATCAGTTTCAATTATACGTAATTCATCATCGGTAAGTGTTACTAAAAGACAAAAAGAAAATTATCATATTATATAAAACAAGACTTTGAATATCTACGTCGTGATTTAAACAAATTAGCAAATTCATTCTTTTTTCAGATGATAGAGGAAAGATCCAAATTGTTATTCATATGAGAAAAATTAGCTTTTTATTTGATTCACAAAAATATTTATAACGAAGGATAACAAATGATTAAAGACTTTTGAGTATATATTTTATTCATTAGTAGAGAGTCATCGGACTAGAACAAAGTTCGAAGGATTTATCCTTGTTGGCCAGCTATTCGATTAAGAAGTCCAACTAAAATTCGAAGACATCTATTAGGATTTTAAAATCCGTAGAAGCCTAACTCCGTTGCTTTTCTTTAATAGGACTCTACATTCATAAGAATAAAAACTCGATCCTTTTCTCTATTATTAGCAAAAAAAGAATTAACTAATTTAGTCAAAGCCGGATAGAAATATTCACATTGTTTTTGGTATTTAATTTTCTGATAATCTTGTATAGTACAGAAGACTTATATTTAATTTTTTTAATTATCAAATTTTGGAGTATTTCGTGTAAACACGACTCTTCACAGTTGATTTGCAATTAAGTATCAAAAAATAGCGTCATCTTTTTCATAGACTACAGAGCAGAGTTGTTTCTTGAAGACCAAAAAAAAGGAATACAATAAATCCTTCCATAGTGCACACTTTTCAAAGTACCAGCTACCATTTTTTGCTGGAATTAAACTTTCCTATAATAGACACCTTTCTACAGTGGACAGTTTTGAGAAGTCCGGAGGGTGTCTACTATAGAGAGGTTATACTGTAGCTGTTTTTTTTTGTGAGACATGATCTGACAGGAATGTTGAAGTAAAAAATTCTACCTCCGAACACACTCTGGTAAATGTTAATTAGAGAGTAATATAGACCATATATAAATAACATCTTGTTATAATATATGACCTACTTCTTTATTGCATTTCTAAAGAACTAAGTACAAAAATGATGAAAAAATTTGTGCCTCAAAATAGATAGAATAAAACAATCTGCCAATCATTAGCACCAGCAGTTGAATCGTTTCACACATTTTAATCCCTGAGGGATTGCACTAATAGCTTTTTTTTTCTTTGTTAGAGAATGAAAAAAAAAAACGAAACAAATCTTAAGTTTGATTTTGAAAGAGTTATAATACATTTATTTCTGCTTAAGAATAAAAAATTTAATTTTTGAATTTTTAAAACCTGTCTTTTCTCTTTTGATTGCTTTCAAAAGAAAGATACGATAAAATAATTTAATCCTTTGTGATTATGTTCATCGATTCTATTGTACTTAAGCTAGCAAAACATAAAATTTACATTTATCAGGTATTTGAGATCGACATGATTGAGTAACATCTTGAAGTCGTTGTTCAAGTTCTTTTTTATCTAAATTAATTTAAGATTAATAAAAAAAAAAAAATATCGAATTTTTTATTTTATTTTACTTTTATCATTAGCTTCAATTTTTTGTTCATATTGAAAAATAAGTTCTTGAAGACTATTGATTTGTTCATCTTTTTTATTTGATTCATTCTAAATATTTTATTTAAGTTTATGAATTCCTTTTTTTTTCTTTCTATTAAATTTACTTTTAATAATTGTAATTCATTTCTATGTCTTTCTATAAGATTTTCTCGTGATTGTTCAAGTTCTACAACACGTTTTTTCAACTAAAAACAAAAAAAATTATATTTACAAAAAAAAAAATAAATTTTGATTATACATCATCAAATTCATGACGATGTTCATTTGTTTGTTGAATAGTTATTGGATGTTGATTTTGTTTTTGATGTTCAAGTAATATATTTTGTCGATTTAATTCATCTATTTGTAAACGTGATTCTTCATAATGTTGGGTTAATTGATATAATTTTTTTTCTAATAAATTTTTTTCTTCTTTAAGTATAGTTACATGTATTGTACTTGCACTTTTTTCTGCCTAAAAATTTTTCAAGAAAATGATAACAATAAAAAAAAAAACGAATCACGATGAAACAAACTTCAGCAGCAAGTTTTTCTTGTCGTAATTTTTGATTATTAACAAATAATTCATCTCTTTCATTACGAATTTGTTTTAAACTGTGATTAAGTGTATTTTTTTGTACTAAAATAATTAAAATATAGAATAAAAGAAATAAGAGGTAAGTTTAATAAAATAAAATTACATATAGCATCAGTAAGTAATTTTTCTTTAGCAATTAATTCAGTTCGAAGTAGACCACGTTCATTAAATATTTGTGAAATATCATTTTGAAATGTTTCCTTAAAAAAATTATTGAGTATTTTAATAAGAAAAAAAAAATAAACGTTCTTTTTTTTCTTCTCGGAGTACTTACAGCAAGATCTGACATTTTAGATACAATTAATTAGAATAAATATTGTAAACAACGAGATTGATTCAAAATAACAATGAATGAACAAAATCGAAAAAGGGTAAGTCGTCGTCGTTTCAATTTGAATAATCATTTCTCCAGTCTATACTATCCTCATGAGAGGACGCCACAAGGTGATCGTTAAAACCTTATCTCAAAAAAGGTCATTGTACTGAAGATTTCTTTTTTCATGACAGAAAATCAGTAAAAAAAAGCTTGGATTTTTCTTAATATTGTTAGATGTAAGTGAGATGAGTGTTTATTGATTCTAATCAATGCTTGTACCAAATTTAGCGAATATTTTGTCAACATAGAGCGTGAAATTATTATTCTGTACCGGACATGGGATTGATCCATGTTTCTTTTTTGTAATTGAACTGAGTAAAAACTGATAGAAATGTCAAACAAAATGTATTAGAGTCTCAAATTTAGATCGGATCGATTTGCGCATTTTTAGAATGAAATCGATCAAATTTTTAAAAGTTTGAGCAGAACTGATTCCATCTCTATTTTCTACTCTCTATACGTCTGCAACATTTTTATTGGCCATGTTGTCCTTGTTGAATATTCAATTAACTACGAGTATAGAAGAACTATTGTTGTTTCGACCTAGTCAGAACTAGGACCTTGAATTAATTTACTCATGTCTAGCTTTAGAACTGACTAAAAAGAGAAAACATATGTGTTTCATTAACTAAAGTCACGAAACGTTTAAGATGATGTCAAACATTAACAGATTGCACACGTATCTCAATAGATTAGCTAATGAATGTAAAAGTACATTTGCAAGTCACATTTCTAAACTCAATAACTTGCATCTTTTCATTTTAATTATACAACCCTCAAGTTTTATATTATTCGCACCGAATTCTTGTATATTCTCTATAAGAAGAAAAAAAAATGCATTATACAGTATCCAAAATAAATAGTATCACAAAAAAAAAGAAAAAAGAGCAAATATATATATCTACAGTATTAATAGAAAAATCAACATGAGAAAAAATAAATAAATAGATATAATAACTAATGAATAATAAATAATCCAAATAAAGAATTGGCCAAATGAAAAAAAAAAAAAAAAAAAAAAAAAAAAAAAATGTCTTTTTATCAGTTATGCTAATGGTAAATTATCTAATGGACATTGAACTGAAAATTCCTTTAAATATGTTTCAATACAATTTAAATGAAATATATGTGTACATGGTAATAGTTTAAGTTGTTGTCCATGTTGATATTTTTCCATACATATTGTACATTGATCATCTAAATGTTTATCATTAACATCAATTGTTGATAATGTATCTAATATATTTGTATTAACTGTTTTACGTTGTACACGTTCATCAAGTCTTAATAACATTTCATAATCTTCTGGTGAACTAAATATAAAATATAAATAAATAAAGATAAGAAAAAGAAAATTGTTTCATATATTTACAGATCACGATTTTGCATTTCAAGAAGAAAGTCAATCATAGAATCATCAAATGAAGGTTCATCAGGAATATTATATTCATGTAATGTATATTCACGAAATTGATATGCACCTAAAATTGTTTGAGATTCATCAATAAATAAATTATTATTCAATTTTGATCGTTGCTTTTTATTTGATGATGTTGAATAATATGTATATGATAAATTATACGGATGACGATGTTCATATACAATAGATCGAAGTGTTTCAAGAGAATATAATGGTACTGGTTCTGATGATGGTATACAATGATAACTTGGTTCATCAAGTATAACTTTTTTAGCTAAACGATGATGTATATATAAATGTTTATTATGTGACTTTATTTTAATTGATTTTGCGTGTTTAGTTTTAATCTGACGTTGTGCATTCATTTTTTTCTTTGAACGTTTTGTTCGCTGATAAGGTCTGTCTTGTAAATGTTCAATAAAATCTAATTGTTTTCGTGTAGCACGTTTTTCAATATATGACTCATCATTATTATCATCATCATAAAAGTGTGATGATTCATCTTCACTATCAGTTGGGCAAATAAATTGATTAAAATAATTTGTATCGTCGTCTTCTTTATCTAACAAATTTTGATCGGATACCTCAGCAAAACTGAATGAAAAATAAAAGAATTCTCTTATTAGAATAATTAAATCATTTATATATATATATTGTAAACTACCTTGTATTTGCTGGAAGTAATAATGATGCTGAAGATGGAGATGAAGGTATAAAGATATAATCACTCAAAACACTTGCTGGTTCACTACTATTACTATTTGATCGGCTACGATGAGGTGAAATATTTCTCGTTGTTGTTGTCAGGAACTCTGATTGATTAATAGCACCAAATGATGGACAAACAGGAAATATATCAGCCTCAATAATCGTCCTCATGTTTTATAAACAAATCTGGAAGAAAAATACTTATAAGATAAAATCTTCTTAGATAAAATGATGCCACTCATTTATTGTGATTATGAACGAATTAGGTGGTTGCACATACAGAATGACATATAAATATATAGACGTAAGAGAAAGAAATGAGTCAGAATCAATGAGTTTTTTCCAAGTAAAATGCTTGTCCTTTTTTCTTCCCTTTCATTTAATCTCTATTTTGTTCTTTTTCAGAACCATAAGAAAAGAACTTTTTTTTTGCTGTACAGTCAACAAAGCACATGAATGGACTAATCGAAAGAGAAAAAAGACGCAAGAATAAAAATACAATAATAAGTGAAAACAAGAAAGAAATGAAATAAAAACAAAAGAAAAGGACCGGTTATATAAACGCATACATATAAACATGATTTTTTTTACTGCTAACGCAGACTAACATTGAAATTGAAATTGACAAGAACAAAACAATAACAAACGACTGTACATGACAAAGAAAATATGTTTTTTTTTCAAAGATTTATGTGAATGATAATCTTCACCATAAGAGAATTATCTACAATAATATTTTCTTTTCATTTGCTACAGCTAAAATAGAAAAGAAAGAATTCACTATCAAAGAAGTTCACCGGCAAGAAAAAGAGAAAAGAAACAATTTTAATACTTTTAGATAGATAGATATATATACATATATAAACAAAAAAAAAGAAATTAATCAGATCAGGGCATATAAGAAGCAGTAGTCGTTGGGATAGCTAAATGTTGAGCAAGTAAAGGGCTATTATTATAATGAAATAATGATGATGTTGGCGGTGGATGATAATGAGATGGACAAAAATATTGTGGTGCCGGATGATGATGATGATGAACGTCACAATCCATTTCACTTTCATCATCATCAATATTAGCTAAGGCTTCCGATGATGATGATGATGAAGATCTATTTTGATTTGAATATTGATAATTCGATGATAATAATAATGGATTTTGTTGATGTTCTTCTTGAATCATATGAAGACCAACAGAATTTGTTGGTGATGGAACCGCTGAAAAAACAAAAAGAATGTTTTTTTTTTTTTTCGTTTTTATATTAAAACTTTTATTTTGTTTTCTTTACTAGTTGCTCGTCGAACTATTGGTGAATCCGTATTATTTGTTGGATACTGAAATATGATCAAATGAAAATATGATTTTCTTTTTTTGTGTAATTTTTTAAACATACTTTTTGTACTTGTTTTTGAAGTTTTTGTAATTCTTGTAAACTTGATCCTGCTAAATCATCGTCACTTGCTTTTAAATTAACAGCATTACTATATAAACGTTCAAGATGTGCTCGTGTTGTACCATTTATAAGATGTGAACTTGTATCACTTGCACGACGTGATGATAAACCACGTTCTTTAGTTGCTTCACGAGTAGCCCGTCGAGCTTTACAATTGAGTAATAAACCTTGTTCACAAACTGTATGACGTTTACCACGATTGAGATACCTAAAAATGAATAAAGAAATTTTCCTTCCTTTGCTTTTGTTGAGATTTTCATTGAACAAACCTAGCAAGAGCTTCAGCATCCTCATCAATATCATTATCATTATTATTTCCTTGCTCTTTATCTTCTTCAGCTTCATGTGGAGTAATGGAAAATGTTGGCGGTGTTATTGGTGCACCACGTGTTATACTTCCTCGAGATGATCGCTAGAAAATGATTAAATAACGTATTATTAATTATTTAAAATTTCGTTTTTTACATTAGATAAAGGAGATTGTGTATGTGTTGGATGTACAGCACCAAATGTATTCGAACTGGTTGCACCAGATTGTAATTGAAATAGAAGAAGATGAGCACCACTATCACTGGCTCGTCGATTCATATCTATAGAAAATGAATTAAGATTATAATTGTTGGTTTATTTTTTGTGTTAAAGTAACATACGAAAATTATGAGAAACCGGTGGTGAAAGCCAATGATTATCTTGTTGTTGATGATCAGGTACATCAAATGCAGTATTTATCACAGGAGAATGTACAGATAAACCATTATAACTTATTGAATGTGTATCTCGTTGATGATAAATCGGCGATGATGTTGATAATAAACAACATTCATCATTATTATCAGGTGTTCGAACATTTTCATATTCTTGTTGTTGTTGAAGATTTGTAAGTCGATTTGATAAGATTGATGGTTCAAGACTTGATGATTGATGAGCAAAACGTACTTTAGAAGCAAGTGTTGGAATAGGTCCACCATGTACAAGTAAATCAGGTCGACCAATTGTATGTCGTCGTAAACCACGTGCACGAGTAAAACGTTCTCGTAATTGTGCTGCTGTTACTGCATCTTCTTCACCATCATTATCATTATCATCTTCATCATAAGCTTCAAGATAATCTATACGAATTTCTGGTTCTTGTCCATGATAAACAACTTGTTTTGATGTACGCTGAAGATCACATGGATCTAACTGTGGACGTATTGATTCAGCCTAATATGAGAAAAAAAAACATATTTAAAAATAAAAGCGTCCTGTTTTTTTTTTTCAAATTTAATTGTTTTACTGTATTTGGAGCTGCATAAACTAATTCGGTATTATTTTCATCAAATATTAATGGTGCTGTTAAGCGTCTTGTTACATCCGAATTATTTAAATTATCTACATTGTCATTGAGTACTGATTCAATTGGAATGTTAGAATCTAACAAAACAAGATATTAAAAATAAAAATATTTCATTTGTTTTTGTCTTGTCTTACTTTCAATTTGACATGTTTGTTGAAATTTTTCTAATAATAAATGCCATATAGCAGCATCACTATCATAAGAATTTCCGGTAACTGATCTTAATATTTGTGTACGATTATAACCAAGTGATTCAGCATGATCAAGTATAGCATTTGTTAGTTGACAATCTGGTATTGATTGCGTTTGACATGTTGTATCAGATGCATCTAAACTATTTAATATAAACCATGGATGTTTTTTTATGTCACTTATTGTATAACGTTGATTAGGATCAACAGTTAACATATAACTGATTATTGAACTGCAATCTGAATAATAAAAGAAAAAAAGATTATTTTTGACTAATATAAAATAAGGATTTTTCGATTGAATAGAAAACAAACCTGAACTAATGTAAAATGGTAAACGATATTGTCCAGCAAGAACATATTTTCGTAATTCAGCAAGATTATTACTATCGAATGGTAAATGACCACAAACAAATACATAAAGTAAAACACCGAGAGACTAAAATTTCAATAAAGAAAAAAAATATCATTAAAAATTTGAATTAATTTTTGTTTTTTACCCAAACATCAACTTTTTCAGGTGAATATGGAAGACATTGGTAGAGTTCAGGAGCTGCATAACTAATTTAAATCAACAAATTATTAAATTCATATTTTTAAGAAACAAAATTTCTTACGGGGGTGAACCGCAAAATGTTTGTAACTTTGAATCAGGTGAAAATACATTAGCAAAACCAAAATCTTTAATAGAAAAATATAATTAATAATATTGAATATTATTTAATGCATTCACTGTCGGGGGTAGGAAACTTTCTCACAGTAGTAGCATAACCAGAAGACCGTGGGTGGTAGCTAGGTGCCAGATGACCTTGGAGAAAATTCATGAGATGTAATGTAAATGATGGTAATTATTATAATGTTTTTCTTTTTTCCGATTGTAGGGCGGTGTGTCCGATCTTGCTCACTCTTGATTACACCACTAGGTCATAGATAATTCGTTGCATTAGGTATGAGTCTTAAGGTATCCTACAGGAGCAGCGAGGATAAATAACAGGTATGGGTGAAAGAAAGCAAAGATTCTCATTGACATTTACACTTACACCTAAACATAGGCGACGAATCGTCTGATCAGCTTGTCTTCGTATGACTTTGTTTTTCTGTTTCATAATAACAATCATTTTACTATTTTCTATTTAAATATTATTAATATAAAATTTCTTATATCTAATTTCATGAAATTTAATGTCGTAATGAACTCAACTAATATTGATACGTGAAAAAAGAGCTATTCTTCAATAGACATTCTATCTTATATTGCATCTCAATTACACTCATTGATAACAAACAAAAAACTTTCAATTATAAGTTCAAAGTACAACTGTTTGAAAAAAAAGAACTATTGTACCGATGTTTAATAACAATTACGATTATTATCAAAATAAATATTTTGCTTGATTACAACTATTTGTTAAATGTAAAACTTACGCTTAAAAAATTTTTTTCCAAAGAAATATTCTAGTTTATATTAATAAGAACAACCTTATTATTAAAATCGGATCATATCTCATTAGTAAGTAAGTATGAATGCACTTTCATCGACATTTCTCGTATTTTGTTATCTATTTCAAATAGAAATTTCATTGTTCCTATTGTTTGAAGTAATCTGAGAACAGTAACAGATTGTGTGCACTTATATTTCAAGTACAAAAAAACATTGATAAATACCTGCTACTTTGATATTGCCACGACTATCCAATAGTAAATTTTCAGCTTTTAAATCACCTATTCAATTAAAATTGAATGCATATTTAAAAAACAAAACAATAAAACAGATTGCTTTTTTCGCATTACTTACGATGAACCTAAAGTAATAAATAAATGTCATATTATAATTTAATAGAAAATATTATCATTTTACTTACAATATTTTTTGAATGAATATATTCAACAGCTAAAACAAGTTGACGAAATTTTTCTTTTGCTTTTGGTTCACTTAAACGTTTTTCACGAATAAGTAAATCTATAAAACAATAAATTTCATTTTTATTTAAAAAACAAACGAATGATTATCTACCTAATAATTCACCATTAGCTGCATATTCTGTAACTAAATAAATAAGATTTTTTGATTCCATTACCTTGAAAGAAAAAAGAAAGACAAACATACAAAAACCTTCAGAATGAAAATTTCAATCAATTTTACTTCATAAAGTCGAATAATATATGGATGTATTAATGATTTCATAACAACAAT